CACTAAACTAACCCCATGTTCTGTATACTCACCTCACCGGTAGTAGGTGTATGTAGCAAGAATGTCAGGAGCAGAGTATCTTCTACCCTCGGGGGGTCATGTTGGAGGAGTGATGTGTCAGTGTTGGGTGTACATGGGTGAGGAGCAGAGTATCTTCTACCCTCGGGGGGGGTGTCATGTTGGGGGAGTGATGTCTCAGTGTTGGGTGTACATGGGTGAGGAGCAGAGTATCTTCTACCCCCTGGGGGGGGTGTCATGTTGGAGGAGTGATGTCTCAGCATTGGGTGTACATAGAATGTCAGGCGCAGAGGATTCTCTCCCTCCCGGGGGTGCCGGAGTTCCGGGAATACACACAATCAGAACTCTTATCTGGGTAACCCAATAAAACGGCTTCTCCATCTGATCGGTGACGAGTTCATTATATTCCCCCGAGTACGGACAACACAAACGTCACATAGAATTCATTTAGATTTATTTTCTATACATAATATTGACACGGTAGCCCTGTAATAATATTTCCAGCTATACAACAAACTTCCAATATACACAAGCGGAGAGCACAGAAAACAAGATGGCGTCTGATGCAACATAGCGGCACAGAAATCGCACTCCACTCTCCGTCTACAGACACTCGAAGAATAGTGGTAAAAAGTCTCAGAATAAAGGAGGTCCCACAGAAAAGTGCTGGACCCCCGACCTCCGAGGGGAGGCCCCTGCTGAGTGACATACAGCCCTTAGCTGATCACAGGAGAGTCCTGAGCTGTGTGCAGCCTGAGCCCTTCTCTGACATCTGCCTTAAAGGCACAGTCCATAGAAATAATTATAAATTCACCCAGATTGATAAAATAATAAAAAAGTAATTTGTTTGCATTGGGGCCTACAGAGCATTGCAACCACATGCAGTGCCATGCTCAGGCTCCTGCAGACTCTTCCTCCATTCCCAGGTCCAGCCCTACTGGTATGGGGCTGGAGGAAGTAACCAATGGCCTACAAGAGCGGCGATGTCACTAGTGAAGTGCGCTCCACCGAGAATTATACGAGTCCCCCTGCAGCACTGAGCACTGGCAGATGGGACTTGTAGGCTCTCTGCTGCAAACCCTATTTTTCGCACTGAACCCGAACGCAGGTACTATTGTGCCACGCGTTCGGGTGCTGGCGATCGCACCGCAGTCGGGGGTGGGGGGGCGCAGCTGCGGTGCCATTGAGCCACGTCCCCCAATAACTGAGCCGGCCAGGTTGCGTTCCAGAGGCCGAACGCACTGGAAAGCCCTCCTGGTGTGACAGGAAGGAGAACCACCTCAGTGCTACCATCCTACACCCCAAATCTAACCGGTATCTGTGGAATTATCTGCAGGCTGACGCAGCCGATTCCAGATTTGGGGTTCAGACTTCACGCAGCTCTTATCTGTCCCGTAAAGGTTATAAAAGCTGTGACATCACCAAACAGTCCCTGTAGAACCTCCTCGGACACTCTTCTCTACTAGAATAAAAGTCAAAACCAAATAAAACGTCTTCGCTTCATCAGGGCCGGAGCACAGCCGACACTTCCCGGCGTTCAAATAAAAAAAAAAAACCACGAAGCTTTACACTGATGCTTCATGAGCGGCGGGATCCGAGAGCGCGGCTCCCTCCTGCCGGCACTACAAACACGTCGCTGCAGCTTCTCCACGCTACAGGAGATCCAATTGGCTGAAATGATTTGAAGATCCCGAAAAAGGAGAAACGCTCCCAACAGGCGAGAGCATCTCCCAGTAACAGACGGATCAATCCCTAATTCCATACACTGCCACTGCTTATAGTCGTATACGCTTGTCAGGGTGCCGAATAATCGAGGACCAATCATTGGCTGCTGGGTGAAGTGAGTCCATTAGGGCTGTAACAACTAATTGATTAAAATTGATAATCGATTATGAGAATAGTTGGCAATTATGCTCATTATCAGTTGGCGTGGGGGGAGCGAGAGAACGAGGACGTTTTAAAAATGTTTTAATGCAACCAATCGATTAGTTGTCCGATTATTTTTTTCAACTAATCGATTATGAAATTGTTAGCTGCAGCCCTAAAGTCCATCCTGGGGGGGCCCGGACGTTGGACCTTAGGTGGTAAAAACCTATTTAAAGAAATACAGCTTTCCACAGACACCACCTGTCACGAGTTGCGATGGGGGGTTGATCACTAGAATTTAAACTTGAGATTTTATCTGACGCTTAGGGGGTCTATTTGTAAATTACACAACATTCATGCTACATTCACCGAGGATTCACACATTTCTCCAAATGAAACCAATTGAGAAAATATTGCATGAAAGTTGTTGCGAATCTCATAAGAATAAAAAATTGACCCCTCTCCCCCGTGGTGTTCATATAACACGTGGAGTGGATAGTAAAAAAAAAAAAACAACATGTTTAAATAGCTATTTCTGAGAGCAATAATGCATTTTCCTAACATAAAAGACACAAACTCAGAATGAACAGGCTGCATAGAATCTGGTCCCAGAGCTGCTTGCTGCTGCCTTCTGCACCTCTCTCTGTATACTGCAGCCCGCTGCTTTTCTCTCCCATGGCTGTTACAATGTATCGTTGTTGGGGGCAGGATAACAGGATGTTGGCTTTGTGATTGACAGGTGTGGAGGATTGTTCTAGTATGGTCACTGATGGGTGCGACGCACATCTGCCACAATGGTTACTCTCAGCCATATACTGAGGCTTTTTCTGCTGCCTGACAATGGTTATCATGACTGGAGGAGGGACGCATGTTATACTATTGAACATAGCAGCTCAGCAGTGGGGCCCGCCAGGGGCTTGTTTTGCGACTCCTGCCTGCCGGGGCCGGCTCCTCTCTCCATAGTGGCCAAGGTAAGGGTATAAGAAGTACCTGCTGCATCAGGCAGGGGGCTCGGCCGGGGCTTGTTTTGCGACTTCTGCCTGCCGGGGTTGGGGCCCGGCTCCCGTTTCCATAGTGGCCAAGGTTGGGGCTAGCAAGGTTATAGGCAGAAGCCCCTGTATCAGGCAGGGGGCCCAGGGCCTGGCAGGGGCTCGTTCTGCAACTCCTGCATGCCGGGGTTGGCGACTCCTCCTTTCATAGTGGCCAAGGTTGGGGTATAACAAGGTTATAGGCAGAAGCCCCTGTATCAGGCAGGGGGCCCGGGGCCTGGCAGGGGCTCGTTCTGCAACTTGGGGCCGGATCCTCCTTCCATAGTGGCCAAGGTTGGCCTGCAGAGCTTTCGCTCTGGTTGGGCGGCAGGGCCGGAGCAGCAACTTCTGCCACTGCACACCGATAGGTGGGAGGACAAGCTATGATCCATGTCCATCTAATGGGGGCCCCGCCAGGTAGACTGTATGGGGCCCAATGATTTCTAATTGCTACCCTGCCCAGCAGCAATTCTTCATGTTGTATCCTACCTTCCACATATCATACCGGTCCCTCAATATTCTGCAGAGCATTGCAACCTTGCGGCAGCCGTCACAGTGCAGCTCTGGACCAGAACACTGAGCGGTGCGGATATTTGGCAGAAGGGGGAGTTGCCCCCCACAACATGTAACGGGACAACGTCTAGGTACCGCCGCGTCCTCTGGATCAGGAGAACCGTGTGCTAATCTCCACATAAAATAAAAGAATCTGCCTGTACAATATATATATAAAGCTGGGAAGTCTTCAACGTTCCCAAAATCAAAGCATCCAATGAGAACATTAACGCTCGTTATTCAAGTTCAGTATTTATCAAATGCAAAGATCCGGCCAGCTCAGCTTGGAGCTCGATGTCGGCAGTTGGGGGGATGTTCAGTTTAAATAAAGCTAAGATGATACAAAAGGCCTCTTTGGCTGGTATGTACAATAGTGTGTCTTCATCATAAAGTGCTTCTATGCCCTGCGGTGGGTCTACGCCCCACCCCCCGTTATTGCTTCAGGAGGTCTTTCAGTACCGCGCCGGCGTCCGAGGAGATGGGCATAGGGGTGAAGGTGGGCAGCGCATCAGAGATGGGCTTCATGAGGAGATGCTCCAAGGTGCCCCCTCCCAGAGATGACGGGGAGATGAGGGGGACGGCTGCGGAACGAGGAGCCAAGAAGGGGTTCGAGTCCTGCCGTCGACTTGATCCTAAAAAAGGAAAAAAAAAAATAGCAAAATCATCAAAACAGAAGAAGTTGAAGCAAAAAAACTGCAACAAAAACAACCCATTAAAAGTAAAACTACAAAACCAGCTTCTGCTGCAATATTCACCTCCACGCCAGAAATCCCCCTCGCAGTACCCTGACCCGCCACTAGATGTCCCCAGTCTGATAGCCGCCATCATTCAACCCACTTCTGTGCCCAGGTCATCCTGAACCCGCCCCCAGCTTATGACTGGGCAGTAAAGGAGAAGCAGCACAGTGATGAGCTCATCTCTGTCACTCTGCTCACTCCTCCTACTGGCATGCTTTTCATCGGCCCATGAACTGATTGACGCCTTGTGCTGCTCCTCCCTCTCCCAGTCTAAGCTCTGCTTTACAGTGACAGCAAAAGGCCGATACCAAGTTATATTCAGGTACTTGCACTGCTTGAATTCAAAATTGTATTTAATGATGACAGCACCGCATTCATTTCAGATTTAAATCTAAAACCTTTTTTTTTTGTCCATTTTGTATCGGGTGGGACAGGGGTGGGCAACTCCGGCCCCCCAGCTGTGCTTTAACTACAAATCCCAACTTACCTCGGCCTTTGGGGTCATGCCCGATACCATCAATTTTGCGATGCCTCATGGGACTTGTTCCACCACAGCTGGAGGGCCGGAGTTGCCCACCCCTGGAGTAGGGGGTGGTTAAAACCATCTAGTGTCCTCCGTAGACACATGTTAAATGCAACACACTGCACAGTGGCAAAGCATTGCGACGCTTAACCCCCGCGCAGCCTGGGCCTAAGATCCAGAGGGGCTCCACCGGGATCACACTGAAGGTGTGTACTTGTAATAACTGTGCTAGTGCCAGCGTGCCCAGCCAGCCACCCACCAATGAGATTGCAGCATGCCCAGCCAGCAACCAATGAGATTGCAGCAAAAGCCTGCTCAAGTGCAAATGCCTTTGAAAAGAAAAAAACAGAGTTTTGAAGCCGCTGGACCAGCATGACGGGCAGAATTGGAAGCAGCGATGGCAGCCTTCATATTCCTCTCAGTACAGGTTTCCTTTAAGTTAAACTTTTGGCTGCCTTTCCTGCTACAACTGTTCAGGTTGCTGATAATGTGCAGGTGCTCGCAGGTTCAGATTACACAGCAGACGTCCCGTCCCCAGGGGTGAGCAGAGGAGGTCAGAGACGGGCAGACGGCTCGAGATCATCTAGAGGTCTTAGAAATGTATTCACAGCGGCAACACAGGACGAGAAGCCCGAGGGGGATAATAAAAGGGCTGGAACAGCCGACTGCGCACATCGCAAATCAATAGGAATGTGTCAAATACAGAGTGTCTCTCTCTCGATATATATATAGATATAGATATATATCTATTTATATACAAATATATATATAAAAGTTGTGTTGGGAATCTCTCATTAGCAGAACAGGCCCCGCACTCGGTCTTCTCACAACACCAGATTACCAGTGACCACATGGTATTACACGTGGGCACCCCAATAGTCTATGCCACGGGTACCGTTGGCAAACTCCAGGCCTCCGGCTGTGGTGAGACTACATCACCCATCATGCATCTGCCTCTGGAAATCCTGCCTGTGGCTGTCAGAGTCTTGCATTGCCTCCTGGGACTTGTAGTTGCACCCCAGCTGGAGGGTCAGGGTTTGCCCACCTCTGGTCTATGCAATGTGACAATGAATAACTATGGAAGCACGTTTGACTGGAGTGAGACTCAGCAGATGGACACAGCCCCCCACACACACACTCCATCTATAACTGAGATATCTCTTTTCGGGTGCGAGGCCCATTTGACTTTCCCCATAGATAAGAAAAAAAGACAGACCAGACATTGTGCAGAGATTGGTTTCCTCTGTCATGTCGGGGAATGAAGATCTCTTGTGGCTCTGGAACTCTGCAAGCAATTATTGGGGCCGCTCTCCAGCTTATTACGGGGACTATGTGCTGGAGAGATGATTTGCAACTGGTCATCCTGCCATAAAGGTCCTTCCTGTTATAGGGTGACAACACTCCATCTCCCAAATGGGCTCCTGCGTTGTCACCCTGTCGCATGGGATGCTGAGTGGCTGTTTTATGGTCCACTTTTGTCACCGTCAGGTCCTAAGAAATACAATGTAGCCATGCTATTGGGTGCGTGTAGACAGGAAGTCGCTACTAAAAGGCATAATGAGCTGCTGAGGAGCATGAATGGTAACAATACTAATCCCTACTCTCAACCCGGAGAGCGCCCATCCGAGCTCCTCCAATATGAAGGGGGCATTCTTAAGCTCCTGAAATGCATAGGGCTACATATATGGGTTTATATTGGTACTCTAATCGCCCTTTTTATCTATCCGGCTCCAATCTGAAATGGTTCCTGGAGAACTTTATGCCGAGGCGAGCTGCCCAACCAGTGCCAACGTACCTCAATCCTTCTGAAAATACACCCACTCTGGGAATCCAGTGCCACCAACCCCCCTATTTCGTAAAGCAGCTTAATAAATGATATTGATTACAAACATGGCCGCCTTTCGTAATCCAGTGCTGCCGACATTGCACAATGATCCCCAGAAAAGTGTCTTATAAGGCCGGTGGCCATTGTGTGCGCTCCCTGCCTGGGCCGTCAGTCATGTAATATCCCCGCTGCAGTTCATCTCTGACTCCTGTTCTGTCCTAACACAGCCAAAAGGTCATCAACAAGGCCAGGGGACTCTTGGTCTGGTCAGCTGAGCATGATTGACAGGTCACAAACCCGCCCACAATCACAACTATTGACAGATGGGAATCTGACTTTGTTCAAAGTGAGAGGAAATGACGCGGGCTTCTCATGGACACCTCCCAAGCCGTGTTCTCTCTCTGAAAGTGCCGACGTCACGCACTTTACAAAAGGTGATTAAACAAGATAAATAAAATAAAAATATGAACCTTTGTAGTCTACATAGAGACAGGAAGTATACGTCCAAGCTAGGGATGCACCGATGCCGATACCTATGCCGAGTACTCGTCCAAATGCACCGATGCCCAGCCTGATACTTCCGGTATCAGGAAGCCGGGCAGCGAGTCATTACACCACGCCTGGCTTCCTGATTGGCCAGCTTCCCACCAATCGGGAAGCCGGGCAGCGAGTCATTACACGCTGCCTGGCTTCCTGATTGGCCTGAAAACTGGCTCCATGCTCCCTCGTCACCAGGAAGCATGGAGCTGGCTTCCCGGCAAATCAGGAAGCCGGGCAGCGTGTAATGACTCGCTGCCCGGCTTCCCGATTGGTGGGAAGCTGGCCAATCAGGAAGCCAGGCGTGGTGTAATGACGCGGAAAGCCGGCTTCATGCTCCCTTGTCACCTCATGATAGAGCCGGCTTCCTGGCCAATCAGAAAGCCGGGCACCGCGTCATTGCACGGCTTCCTGATTGAGCAGAAAGCTCGTCACCTAGTGACAAGCATGGGGACGGCTTCCCTGCTAATCGGGAAGCCAGGTGGCGAGTCATTACTGGCTTCCTCAATGGGACTTCTGGTATCGGTATGAACCGAAAAAATAAATATCGGTACCCGATACTGAAATACCGGTATCGGGGCATCCCTAGTCCAAACTAAAAAAACATTGCCGGAGTTCAGCTTTAAAGACTAGACTACAGTCCATTAATTAAAAATGTTTATAAATATAAATGATAAGCGTGGTATGAACCTAGATTTATCTAAAACCGCCATAATCATCATTTCTATTGATAAACATTTTTAATTCAAGGACATCCACATCTGTGTAATACATGTGCAGCCTCAGCTTCCTGCTCTGTAGTGACCGCACTTCTCTTCAGTCCAATGTTTACACTCCTGGTCCCCCTTTCCCCAATGGGGGTTCACTTACCGGATCCACCGGCGCTGGGAGTCCCGCCGGAAGCGCTCAGGGGTGTTACGTCGTGCATTGTCATTCTGGGCGGAGGAGGTTTCGGCAGAGATTCCGTCTCCAGGAACTTGACAAACATCTCGGAAAATGACTGCGGCAAACAAAACATAAAATTGATGAGATCACAATAAGAGCGATGATACAACGTGACAAACGCAGAGGAACCCATTATTAAAGAAAAGAGAACTCAACAAACTGCACCAGTACCCCCCGCGGCTCCATCCCCCATGTCACTGATGAGAACTGCAATGATTTAGGAAGTGTGGAATGAAGAAGAGACTGACGGAGGGGAGGAAGGAGACGCGGCCCCGGGGAGGACAATATAATTCCTCTTCTAGTGCAGTGAACTTTTATCTTCATCCTTCCAATTCCCCGCCAAGGCCCCTTTAAGAACATCAAGCAAAGCTTTTCTGGGCAATGAACCCCCCAATATCTGCTCCTCCACTTACAGTGTTCAGGAGGGATGAATAGGTCGGTCTCAGCGGGCTGTTGGGGAGACTCTTGGCATTGGCCGATCCTCCAAGCCAGCCACTCACCCACCTAGTGACGCCGCGGTTTTCCTCCACCAGCATCTGCAAGAAGAAAACATCACAGAAAGATCATCAAAGGCCACCAATACATTCCCGGACCGGGGACCCCCCCCATCCCGAGAGACCAGGTGTCCCCAATTCATCAGTCACACCATGCCATAGCCACTGAGAGGTCACGGATGAGTCAAGCAGGCGATTTCTGCAAGCAATGAAAGCAGCAGAATTTGACTTATTATCAGCCTCTTGCAGTCCCTGTACAGCAGAGCTTAGAATGGGATGAGAAGCAGCCAATCAGTTGTGCTGCAGTGCCGACAAGGGACATAATAGGAGGAGAGAGCAGAGTGACACAGAGATGAGCTCATCAGTCTGCTGCTTCCCCCTTTACTGTCCAGTCACAGGCTGGGGGAGGGACATGAGAATGTTAATGAACTGCAGCAGGGGGAAGTCAGGTCTCCAGCTTTGCTGTGTAGATTATAATGTAAAGCTGATTATGATAATGACAAATGAGAGAAAATATAGTGCAAGCAGAGCGATATCCAACCCCTTCCCACCAGCTGTACACATATGTGGCAGCACGGAGGGGGCCTTATTCTGTGCTGCCACATACGCGTGTACCTGTTCTGTATAGGGACCGCCCACATCAGATGGTCTCCTGATCATGTGTTTACTAGGACAGTCAAAGTGATCACATGATCATGAAGCCCAGGAAACACCCCCAAGGTCTTCTAATAGGGTCAGGGTGGGGAAGGGGTTAATATACTATTCTCTGTTGATGCCGAGTTACAGGGCCGATTATCAATCTAAAACCGCTCTGTATAGCACAACCCGTATGGCCCGCATGCAGCTCTGACAACGCGCCAGTGTGCGCAATAACCGTGGACGCTCTTCAACTCGAGGAAGCAACATACGCACCTCATCCATCTCATCTTTCTTCAGTCCGAGGATGCTGCCCATCAAACGCAGGACCTCGTGACGCCTGTTTTTCGGGGTGTGGAAATGCCCAACAAATAGATTCCGCATTAAGAGCCTAAAAAAAATAAATAAATATACGTATAAAAAAAAAAGTGTAAAAAAAAAAAAACTTATCTAAACCCAAAACTGTGACATCCTGCAGCTCGTCGGTCCTCGAATGTCATGGGTGCCAAGAAAAAGGTCACTGAACTCAAACATTGTCCTCATACAAGAGTCATGCGTGTTCTTCCTGAATCCTGGGGAGCTTTGTGTATTTCTTCCAGATCTGCGCAGTAATCCAGTGTGAGACTTGGGAGCTTCCTGTAATAAAGACTGTTCCCTGCTGCTCTCTCTCCTTGTGCAGGGTGACTGGTCTTGTCTCCGCCCCCTCCTGTAATAAAGACCGCTCACTGCTGCTCTCTCTCCTTGTGCAGGGTGACTGGTCTTGTCTCCGCCCCCTCCTGTTATAAAGACCGTTCACTGCTGCTCTCTATCCTTGTGCAGGGTGACTGGTCTTGTCTCCGCCCACTCCTGTTATAAAGACCGGTCACTGCTGCTCTCTATCCTTGTGCAGGGTGACTGGTCTTGTCTCCGCCCCCTCCTGTTATAAAGACCGGTCACTGCTGCTCTCTATCCTTGTGCAGGGTGACTGGTCTTGTCTCCGCCCCCTCCTGTTATAAAGACCGGTCACTGCTGCTCTCTATCCTTGTGCAGGGTGACGGTCTTGTCTCCGCCTCCCCCTATTGTGGGCGGGGTCTGCTGGGTTCCCCATACAGCTCTGGTCTGGCTATGTACAGCGCATGGATGATATCGCTGCTACTTTCAAAAGTGATATCTGGCTTGTAAAGGCATTTGGTGCACACAGAGGATTTATATTTTTTGTGACTGAGAAATGCATTTTAATTAAAGTTTAAGCTGGTCCTGCAACCACAACCTCCTTACTGGTTCATCATTGTGATTGGCTGGCTCGGATATTTAGGAGCCTGCATTTCCTGTATATCATCCGCCATTGCCACAAGGAGAGATCGGCAGTGACGGACCCCCCGGCTTCTTGCATATGTTGCACTTCGGTCCCATGTATATAATGTGCTGCCGTCGGTTGGAAGGAACAAGCTGTGTGGCATATTGTGGACAAGAGCTGGTCAGTCCTATAGATCCGTATCAGCGTGCCGCAACTTTCATCACCCCAATACCTACCGCCGATCCATCATGGATATGTTCCGGAAGCCTCCGCAGCGAGTGGGAGACGATTCGCAGGAAATCATTCTCGTTTCTCTTTGCTGAGAACATTCGGCTCTGCAGACAGTTTACAACGAGCCGAGGACGCACATGTGGAAGCAATCGCCGGCTGCCCCGGGCTATCAACATGTTGGACATCTCTCTCATCTCAGGATGGAGATGAAGACAAACAAGATACAAGAGGCCGGAGGACGGGAAGAGATCCACACGGCTTAAAGGGGTTGTCTATATAAAATCACTTCCTGGAGATACATAAAAGGTTTAACGTCGCAGCCAGAGAGGTTTCCTTGGTGTTCGCACAGCTCCAGGCACCTGCCAGTCAAGCCTCACAACCCGTTACCCTCCCTGCTGTCACCGACACTCTACAATGCACATATGGAAGGATAGGACACTGCAGTTGATGGAGAGAAGTACATGCAGTCTGTTCATTCTGAGTTTATAAACCTTAAAAAAAACCATCTAGGATGTCAGAGACTCTTCGGATGGAAGCGGCAGGCCTCCGATTTGCAGTTATAGGTAAGTTAATGACATAACTTTTAGGATAAGTGCATTTTAGAGGTAATTGTTGACAACTGCATCCTCTACGTCAGTGCTCCCCAACCTTTTTATCGCCGCGGACCGGTCAACGTTTGATAATTTTACCGTGGCCC